AAAAAAATCCAAGAAATGCAGAAGTTCCTGGGGTTGAAGGTGACGGGGAAGCTGGACTCCAGCACCGTGGAGGTGATGCACAAGCCCAGGTGTGGCGTTCCTGACGTTGGTGGCTTCTCTACCTTTCCCGGCACGCCAAAGTGGAGGAAAAACAAACTCACATACAGGTAATGGGTACAAAGTTTTCACTTGCAATTAAAGTTTTGTAAGCTGTATCACAGCACCAAATTATTATCTTCTTGAATTTTTCTCATCCAGGATTGTGAACTACACTCTGGATTTACCAAGGGAGGCTGTAGATTCCGCCATTGAAAAAGCTCTGAAAGTCTGGGAGGAGGTGACGCCGCTCTCGTTCTCCAGGATCTATGAAGGAGAGGCTGACATCATGGTCTCCTTTGAGGTTGGAGGTAATGAAGTAATGAATCCACTCATCTGGTCTTTGAGTTAGTTCAGGTTTCTAAAATGAAACACCTCACATTGGGTAATTTGTAAATAACAGAAGTTTAGACATTTTAGACGCTGAGCAGTCCAAGAGGAAGGTGCTGGCAGACTCGGTCTGATGAAGTCTGTTCTTAAGTGGCACCTCACATGGCTTCCTCCAGCTACTGATATCAAGACACTGATCCCATCCATGCAGACCTCATAACCTGATCACCTTCTCAAGGCTCCACATTTGATCCCATCCTGTTAGAGATTACATTTCAGTATCTGGCTTTGAGGAGACACCAGTATTTAGACCAGAGAATGTGGTGTTGTCTTACTGAAAAAAGACAATAAATTCTTAATGCTTACAGTTTGGTTGTTTTGTTCTCCATCAGCACATGGAGACTTTCATTATTTTGATGGACCGGGACACATTTTGGCTCACGCCTATCCACCTGGGCCTGGATTTTATGGAGATGTTCACTTTGACGATGATGAAAAATGGACACAGGGTACATCAGGTAGGACGATTTCAGATACAATGTTCAACTATCCAAGAATGATTTGATTATCCAGAAAGAGTCTCAGGTGGACCATTCTGTTAGCTTCAATTTCTGCTTAACCGTGAGGCAGTCAGAAGTCCTCTTCACCTAATCATGACTGCAGAATTATATCCAGTCTGCTTCCTTTTGTGCCCTCATTTAATAAAGCACAGTAAGTGCCGTATCATCTTATTTCCTCCACTCAGGCTCCTGTTGAGGGTTTGTCTATGATAATGATGTTTTAATTATAAATGAGTAGTGTACAATGATCTCCATTCAGTTACTTCAGACCCTAAGAGTTGCCCTTGGCTTTGTTCCTTCTTTCCCATTTGCCTCTCAAACCCAAAGGTGAGGGGGAGGTCAGGGAACTACGGGAGAACTGTGTGTTCGAATCTGCAGGCCACTGCTGACAGCTTGAAAGCTTCCCCCACCCCAAATTTTTTTCTGAAAGACTTTACTGAGTTAAGCACAGTAACCGAATGAACTGCATTTGATTTACTTTTTCCAAATGGCTTCTGAAGTTTGGATACAGACTGTTGAAACAATGGTTACTTCTGGGACTGGCTGAGTTGTTTAATGCAAAGACCATCTTTACTAAGTGCACAGACCTGGTGTGCCTCATGAAATGATCTACATTTTTGTTTGGTCATTTTGAGACTGGGTCTCCCTGATGATCTATATGTTTTTGAACAACCGTTATTTGCTTTAGTTGCTCAAGTCCTTGATTAAATAATTACAATTACCACTAATAAAATGTTTTATAATATAAGGAAAAGCTTAGTTCATCTGTGTTTGTGCTGTAGAAAACTGATATGGGCATGTTTTTGTTACTGTGGCATTACTGTGAAGCTGCCTGTGGACACTGGATGCCCCAGAGCTGGAGTTACAGGTGGTTGTAGACACCTGACATGGGTACTGGAAACATAACTCAGGCTCTCAACAAGAGCAGGACATGCTCTTAACCCCTGAGCCATCTCTCCAGCCCAACTGGAAGGCTTTTTGTTATGGTTTTTTTTTTTAATTTAGCTTTTTTCACCAAGGAAAAAGACTTTTTATTGCTTATATATTTTGAGACAGGGTTTCTTTATGTAGCTCAGGCTAGCCTGTACCTTACTCTGTATTGTAAGTTGACTTCCATC